CCGATCCCAAACAGCCCCCCCCTCAGACCTTTGCCGCCGCTTGCTGCGCTATGCTGGACCTCGAGTTTGGCATGGGTTCCCTTGACTCAGTCCTCGAACTGATGACAGGAAGAGTTTATATCTCACATCGATGAGATATATAACTGGTTTTGATTCTTGTTTCCTCTGAGATACGAGAATTTGTTTGAGCTCCTACTCTTGTTGTGCAGCAGAGGTGCTGCCGAAATTTTTACTGCACACAACAAGGGTCGGAAGAGAAGGTGAACAGGTGGTGGGTCTGAAGCCTATTCGATGGAGGAGATCATCAAGAAGTTGAACCCTGCGGAGGTGTCAACTTTGATGAAGTTGATGAAGTTGTCGGCTGGTGAGAGCGCGACAAAATCATCGAAGAAGTTGGAGCTTCCGACCATCGATCTGAAGCTTGATGGACCGAGTACGTACCTGAGCTGGTCGCGACGGGTGAGATACACCCTTGCAGGGAGGAACCTGGAGGGTTACTTGACAGGAGAGGCGACAGAACCGGAGGAGGACTCGGAGGGAAGAGATGAGTGGAAGACCACTCATATGTTGGTGTACATCTGGCTTCTCAACTCGTTGGTCCCAACGATCGCCGCCACGGTAGATGGCATTGAGAAGGTGAAGGACGTCTGGGAGAAGTTGAGGAGGACGTATGATGGAGTGGGGAATAACCTGCGGGTATTCCAGATTAAAGGAGAAATCGACGCCACAGTCCAGGGAGAAAGGACTGTACAGAAATATGCTACAGAGTTGGAACGCCTGTGGCTGGATTATGATCATTTCTCTCCCCGGGCTAGCTGCAAGGACCCGGGATGTAAAGAGCGGGAGGCCTTTCTACAAGAGAGGACTATGGTGTTTCTTAAAGGATTGACATCAGAGTTCGCTCAGCGAATCGCATTGCTGCTAGCTCAGCCGAAGATTCCCACGCTTGAGGAGGCTGTCTCTGCTATGATCCAGGAGGAGACTCGCATTCGGCTGCAGGCGGGGACAGGTGGACTTCCTGTGGTGAAGTCAGCACTGGCAGCCTCTAGCAACACTGGATCTAGGGGAGAGACCCGACAGTGCTACAACTGCGGTGCGGTGGGTCATCTACGGTATGCTTGCACCAAGCCATCCAAGGAAGGAGAGTCGGATGGACGTGGACAGTTCGGAGGTCGTGATCGTGGCCGTGGGGGTCGACGAGGTGGAAGAGGAGCAGGGAATCGGGCAAATCTGACGGTAGCAGAGGAAGAAGAAGCTGAGGTGGTCTTTACAGAGGAGGATCGTGCTCTCCTCACGATACTCAGGAAAAAACAGCAAGTAGCAGGGGATGGAGATTTGAGGAATGGGACTGCGGAGGCATCTACTTCGTTCTTCGTCAGAGGCAACACTGCTACCTATGCTCATCCGAACAAAGGTACTGATGACATACATGCTCTTGCTTCTATGTCTCCCGACAGATCATCAGAGTGGATAGTCGACTCCGGTGCATCTCGCCATGTGACAGGTAATGCTAGTGAGTTCTCATCATATACTCACTTAGCATCGCCTGATAGTATTCAAACAGCTGATGGTACATTTCAGCCGGTGGTTGGTAAGGGTACAGTTGATTGTACTGGTTCTGTAACTTTGTCCAATGTTTTGCATGCTCCTTCCTTTCCAGTCAATCTTTTGTCCATTAGTTCTATCATCCTAAAATGAGTGCTGAAAATGAGTTAATGCTCCATCACCAGCGTTTGGGACACTCATCCTTTAGTGTTTTAGGTAGATTGTATCCTTCTTTATTTGAGAAAGCAAATAAACAGAAACTTGTGTGTGATGCATGTGAGTTGGGAAAGCTTACTAGAAGCTCTTATGTTAGTTCTGGTCATAGAAGTTCTCATGCATTTGACCTGGTACATTCAGATGTTTGGGGGCCTTGTTCCACAAGTTCTATGAATGGATACAAATATTTTGTTACATTTATTGATTGCTTCTCTCGTGTTACTTGGTTATACCTGATGAAGAATAAGAGTGATGTGTTTGGGTGCTTCCAAAATTTTCATAAGACTGTTCAGACTCAATACGGAGCAGTGGTGAAAGTATTGAGGTCAGATAATGGGACAGAGTATACCAACAGAGCCCTTGAAGAATATTTGTCAGCTCAAGGAATACATCACCAGACAACCTGTCCATACACTCCAGCACAGAATGGGGTAGCGGAAAGGAAGAACAGACATCTTTTAGAGGTTGCTAGAAGCATGATGATCTCTATGAATGTCCCAGAGACATTATGGGGACAAGCAGTATTGACCGCAGCAGCGTTGATCAACAGAATGCCCTTGAGAGTGCTGGATTGGAAGTCTCCGTGTGAGATATTGAAGGGAGATAATGGTGGGATCCTTCCACTCAAAGTGTTTGGCTGTGTGTGCTTTGTGAAGGACAACAGGCCGTCTGTCGGGAAGCTTGCCCCTAGAGCTGTGAAGTGTATCTTGGTGGGAAGGCTGATCTATTTGAGTCACACACGTCCTGATATCTCCTTTGCAGTAAGCGTGGTGAGTCGCTACATGCACGATCCGAGGAAGGGTCATATGGACGCTGTGTACCAGATTCTGAGATATTTAAAGAGTGCCCCCGGAAAGGGGCTGATATTCAGAAATACTAGAAGTATGGGGCGAGAGGAGGAGAATGGTGAGAGACCGGAGAACAATGTGGAGAAATCCATTTCTGTATCGATTCCTTGGGAGGGCGAATTGGTTGAGGAGGAGTTGGTTGAGGAGGAGCCGGAGAATCACGAAGAAAAGGAACAAGAGACAAGAGGTGTTAGGCCCACTGTTCAGGGGGAGCTACTAACCTATAGTAGGAAGGGCAAACAAATTGGAGAAACAGTACCTACAGTGCCACTAGTGCTGCCAAGTCTCTTGCCAACGCCTACCCCGACTCCTGAAATTCCTACACCACCACCAATTTCATCCCAAGGTGATAACATTCCTACTGATAACATTCCTCTCCCTACTCCTCCCACACCAATATCAGTACGGAGGACTACTCGCAGTAATGCGGGACATCCTCCCGATAGATATGGTTGGGATCTTGCCCAGTATGTATCATATTCTAGTATTCACCCTGCATATGGAGCATTCATTGCATCATTGGACTCTCCCCGTGCTTGGTTTGACAGATTCAGAAGGGCCATGATTGGTATGGGATACCAACAGATCAACGCCGACCATACAGTGTTCTTTCGACGGAGTGGAGGCCACATTACTATGCTTGCGGTATATGTGGATGATATGATTATTACAGGGGATGATGAGAAGGAGATTGCCCAACTCAAAGTGAGACTGGGTAAGGAATTCGAGGTGAAAGATCTTGGCTTGCTTAGATACTTTCTTGGAATAGAGATAGCTCGAGGAGCGGAAGGGATCATCCTATCCCAGAGAAAGTATGCACTGGATCTTCTCAAAGAGACAGGAATGTTAGGGTGCAAACCTGCAACTACACCGATCGACCAGAAGTTTAAGCTGGGTGCTGAAGCTGGAGAACCAGTTGATCGTGACAGATATCAGAGGTTGGTGGGAAGGCTGATCTATTTGAGTCACACACGTCCTGATATCTCTTTTGCAGTAAGCGTGGTGAGTCGCTACATGCACGATCCGAGGAAGGGTCATATGGACGCTGTGTACCAGATTCTGAGATATTTAAAGAGTGCCCCCGGAAAGGGACTGATATTCAGAAAGAATGGACATGTGAACATCGAGGGTTATTGCGACTCTGACTGGGCTAGCTGTGCTGATGACAGGAGGTCCACCTCAGGATACTGCATCTTTATAGGAGGTAACTTAGTCTCGTGGAAGAGCAAGAAGCAGTCGGTGGTGGCGAGATCGACAGCTGAGGCAGAGTATAGAGCTATGGCCTTAGGAGTTGCTGAGTTGCTATGGTTGAAGAGTATGCTGGTGGAGCTGAAGCTGGATCAAGGAGATAAGATGAAGTTATGGTGTGACAACAAGTCAGCTATAAGTATTGCCAACAACCCAGTGCAGCATGATAGAACCAAACACATCGAGATCGATAGGTTCTTCATCAAAGAGAAGTTGATAGTGGACTACTGGAGCTAAGTCATGTTTCGACTAAGGACCAGGCAGCAGATTGTCTGACTAAAGGACTCAGCTCAGTAGATATGATTAGAGGATGTGACAAGATGGGCTTAATAGATATCTTTCGCCCATCTTGAGGAGGAGTGTTGACATATTAGTATTATTAGGGACTTATTTGTAAGTTTTGTAGGGGCCTATATAAAGCCCAAGAGATCTCATAATGAATTAGGGTTTCATATTCTTTATTGTCTCTATTTAAAATTTTGAGGGTATGAAATGTGTCCGATAAAGTAAAGTTTTTGTTATTGAATTTCTGGTTCTTTTTTCTTGGTCGATTGTTTGCCCTTTTTGTTGTAATGTACTTTATTATTTATATCATTTGGCTAACATGCCATAAGTTGAACCTTAAAGTTTAAAGTTTGCTACTTAATAATCAATGTTAGGAGTACTGGTTAATATTACTATTTGGTATTTGTTGCTTACTACTTCATTTAAAGTTACTAGATTTGTGAACTTTGAAATTTTGGCACTAATTAATTTGTCTTGTTACTATTTATTGATATTTGCATTTTATTTATAATCTTTATGAATGTTTTGAATATTTATCTCCTTTGTGAAAAATGGACCTCATTGCCTTGACCTCATCTTTTGCTTTTAAAACACTGGAAAAAGCACTACAAGATTCCATTAGATATCGTTGGATCTAGGCTTCAAGCAATCCTAATGTAAGGTCCAGCAACTCAAAACCCTTTTCATGGAGTACAAGCACAGTTCTCAAGCATAATTAACCATGGGCGAGAGCAACTAGTATTCGCTTAAAATGAAAGTACCATCACACAATAAAAAGATATAATAAGGATATGATTAGACACCAAAATGGCAAACTACCAGACATGTTTATAAGAGTGAAATAAAAGAGTTACAAACCTTTCTGTACTGCATTTGAATTCTCTTCTTCTTGAAGTTTCCGCCGATAATCTTGTTCAAATCTATCTAGGGCATGTGATTCATGATACAGGTCCTAAAAGTAAAAGAACATAAGTGAATACTGATTATTTTGTTAATTAGAAGTTATTAAGAAGCAACAAAACCTTAATCTATCCAGTTAAGAAACTTATATAACCGTTGGTGATGATCAACCTGTAAACTTGCAATCAAACTGTGAGGTTATACTGTAAAGAAAAACCACTTCAGTGTCTTGATTTCTAGCATGTGTCTATTTGTAACAGTTATCTAGTGTGATGTGATAATTCTCTTAGGCTCCTTACAATCATAATTCATGGAAGCTCCATTCATACAATGAGTTTGCACGCCAACATGAAGCCGCCTTGTATTGGTTAAAGGTAGATGGGACCAATGGCTAAATGAAAGCAGAATCTTTTCTTATACAGCCTAGAGAAAGGATTTTTTTACCTTGGTGCATGAGAAACATGTGGCCATGTAACCAGAAGAGAGAGAACAAATCCACGAAAAATTATACACAGAAAATGTATGATAATTGGGTTGATTAAAGATTTGAAAGCACAAGAAAGACAAAATGGACATTATGTCAAGAAGGATAAAGTTTGCAAATTCTCAGACATATAATAGCACAATAGCAAGATGCAGTCTCAACAAATATCATCATGTTAATTCTCTGAACAATAAAATAAGGATGGAATGTGAAAATAGACTTAACTCTGATTCTTCTTCGAACAAAGGATATAATCAATTATTGGATCATTTACTTATCGTGTGCAAGAATCGAACAGAGCATGTGTACTGAAAATGTAGAACTGTTTATATTTCAAACAGATGAAGAATGAATATACAATATCAATTTGGATGTGGAAAGTCCGCAAACTTGTATGCTAAGTAGCAAGCACAATTATAGTATGTCCTCAAACATTCAATACCAGAATTCCAAACAGCCTCCTGACTTACATCTGACAATAAGAACAAAATACTTACAGCTGTATTCTTAACCAATGTCATCATTTGTTGCATCATTTCAGTTGCCTCTTCTTTCAGATGCTTTTGGGATGTAACTTCTGATTCTAGTCTATATCAATGAGGTGGAAAAGAAAATATTGCACATCAAATGATGAATAGTGAATCCAGTAGTAATACATTAATTAAGTAATTGATTACTTACCGGGCAAAGTAGCGGTCTAAGTTATGCCACTGAGGATCCTTGCAACGATTACCAAATCTAACTACCTCTCCTGAAAATATTTTCAACTCTTCCCTGTTGAATTACATCAGAAGCCAATAAGCTTTTCTAGTGATGAAAGATAGAATTATAAGATTTCACATACTAAAGCAGCACAGAGGTCCAAAACAAATCAAGTCTATTTGAACCTTTTGTCATTCGCAGCTATCCTCAATAATTCATCCATATCTTTAGATATTAAAAGCCGCACACCCTCCGAAGGAATGACCACTGCTTTCAAATGTTTCATGCTTTCTTTAGAAAGTGATTGCATGAGATTGGCACCTTTAACTATCGTGTTGGCAACCTCATAAGCCAGAATGGATATTTTGTTTCCTTTTAGGGCTGTCCCTGATACAAAACTACTATTGATGTTTAACCCAGTCATGCTACTACCAAGGGTATCTAACACATCTACTGCTTTGCCAAAGCCAACAGTGCCAGCCCTTCCCAAAAGAGAACTCACTTCTGAAACCTGCGTCCAAAAGAAAGCTGCTAAGTATATTTCACCAAAGAATCTCAACTTAAGGCAGTACATTTCACTCACTTTAAGGCCTTGATTACATTTACAAGCACTATGGGATATCTTAAATTAAAAGCAAAAGTAGTCTGTTATCATAGATATACACGTATCAGCATGCTTAACTGTAGGCTGTATTTGGATACAATAGAGCGCTAAATGATATAAGCTTTTACATGTATCCATAACCTCTGGGATGGCTTGGGAATTCATGTATAATTGAGGCTACATATACTGCAATTTACATATATCCATAACCTCTTCTACCTCTGCTTTCATTGT